CTGGCTTCTTGGTCCGAGTCACCAGCGCCGACTCTTCATCATCATTTTCTTCATCATCCGGGGAGTCATGGGACGAGACTGCGCCCGTTTGAGCATATCTTTTCCGCAGACTTCGAGCGAGGGTTTTCTTGTCTTGAGGGTCTTCGGGTTTCGAGGCCCTTTTTCTTTTGTTGTCCTTCTCGGACTTCGGATTTGAAGGCCTTGGTCTTTTCCCCGGGCGGAGCCGACCTCATGTCGGATGCATCGCCAAGGACTGCACAGGCAAGCGTGAGTAAGTAAAAATGCCGCCAATGCATGTGAAGCGTTGGAACTGCTGAAAGACACTTACCTTGGTTCTTGGCCTCCCACTGGCCCTTCGATAATTCACAACACTTACGCTCATCGTAGGAAGAAGTGGCAGCTAACTTCCAGACCCAATCCTCGAGGAAGGGCACTGCTAGGGGCACCCAAGCATTGGCTGCTAGAAAAAGGACAACAGCGTTATGAAATATGGAAGCAGAATATGAATAGGTACAGGGAATACAAACTCCACTTACGGCTAAAGTTCCACTTCTCCGGGAACGGTATTTTATCCTCCGGGATGACGTCCGAAGTTCTTACACTAACAAACCGGCTCATCCAACCCCAATCTTTGGGTTCGTCAGTACTGGCAAAGAAGGATTTCGTTGTTCGACGTTGCAGCTTGATGAGCCCTCAAAATAACTGGGGCCGATACAATCGAACCAGGTGGCTGATGGTGAATTCCAAACCCTTGGCCTTTTTAGGAAAATACCGCAACATGGTCACGATACGTCAAAAGGAAGGGTGAATCTGACCGAGGGCGACTTTGTACATTTTGCAGAAGTCGAGCACCACCAGAACGAGGGGACCCAGCGTGAAAGGGTAAGTGTAAACACTCAAAAACCCCTCCTTATGGGTAGTAATGTTTTCATCGGGGTTCAGGATCTGAACCTCAACCTCATCTCCCTAGCAACATTCCCACTTTACATCCTTGGTATGCTTCTTTGTTATCAAGCTAATATATCGAGATACGTGCTCGCATCGGCCTGCGACATCGGGAGGATTCTCGATACTGAAGTCTTTCTTAATAATGAAATTATCGGGGGTCATTTCTTCAAGCGTTGGTGGAACCACTGGTTTGGCCGGCCGGGAGGCAGAGGAAGATGATGCTTTATCCTTTTTGGGGACCGTCTTGGAAGTTTTGGCCATGGTTTTAAGATAAACAATACGGGTGCACAGGGATATGGTGTTTCCGGCAAGAGCTTGGCGTTTTTCCGGCTCTTAAAGAGGCGGAGGAAATGGGTGATTGGAGAAAGAGATAAAGATGGGGAAGGGGTGAAGAAAGATTAAAGTTCTTTACTTAGAGGAATCGCCTCATATTTATAGAAGGGCAACGACGGTTCGGCGGCATTAGTGACCGACCAATACTGGCATGCATTTAATGTTTTTGGGGAAGTGGACTGGCGGGACGTTTCGGTCACTTCGAACGCTTGCATCACGGGGATGACATCATCGCTAAGGACTTCGGGAATCCAAATCGTTTCATATCATTTCATTCTAAGAAACTCGGGGACTATCTGTATACGGTGGAAATCGGAGTGCTCGATTTCGAAGACTGGATTACACTCCGAGTCCGAGTTCTGGAAGCTCGAAGTAAGAATCTAGACCGGCCCGGATGAGCGCACCTCGAGAAGCAAATTGGGGACCCGTCATGATCTCCCTCGAGGGAAGTACAATTTCGAGGGCACTCAAGACAGAGCGGTAATTTCTCAAGGACACGTGGGTCGGGGCATGAATTACAGGATAGGATTTGTACGAAATGGTACAAGTCCGTACTAGGTTGTTATACAGCTGTACCAATAGAATTCTTTGTCATAATTGGAAATGTACTATATGAGGGTATTCCCCTCCTATATAAAGGGGACCCCAATCTTTGTAAAAAGAATCTCATTCTCTGCAATAGAACATTCTACTCTGCTTTTCTTGTTTACCGTGCTCAACAATTGTTCTTCAGCTTTATTGTCTTTACTTTATTGTTCATACTTTATTGCTCTTAGCTCACCTCGAGGCCCCTGAGATAATCGAGCTCGAGGTCCTTATTACTCTAACAACACTGGTTTGGTTCATCAATCTTCTTACTTAAACTTAATATTATTTTTTTTTGGTCGAAAGAAAATTTTTTATTTCAACCAGTTTCTTCAATTTACATCACTTGTACTATTGGACTCTAGTATCAGGTCTCATGACTAAACCAATAAACAAAAAAAAAAACTGTACAACCAAGGCTGCTAACTAAGATCCCATAACACTTATGGATCTTTTATCCTATCCTAGTTGCTATGAATAACAAGTAGGATAACTATTTAGAGTATTCAATATAGGTGTCCATTTACATTTCTTCTGTCCTGTTATGTGCACCTGCCTGGCAATTTCTTTTGCTCTATCTTGAACCTCTCTGCTCTGGTTTTGAAATCTTCTTGCATTTCTTTCCATCCAGATGTGATATACTACTGCTGCAAACACCACTCCTAGTAAAGTTTTCCTTGGGTTTCTGTTGTTTACATTGGCAGTTAACCATTGCACTTCAGCTTTCCAGTTTGCAATCTTCCTCTTGTATCTCAACCATTCCAGTATTCCTGCCCATAAACTTTGTGAATATGGACATTCAAAATACAAGTGATCATGAGTCTCTTCTATGTCTCCTCTGCACGGTACACAAGAATTAGGCACCTGTATTCCCCATTTTGCTAATCTGTCAACTGTGGCCAATCTTCTTTGTATTGCCATCCACAAAGTGAATTGTTGCTTTGGTATTATTCCAGTTAACATGACTAGTGTCTTCCAGCGAACTTTGGGGTAACTTGGAGTAGCATGAAGATAGGCCTTATGAATACTGAATCTCCCATTCTGAACAAAGGATTCAATTGTTGTTATGTCATTTGCCCACCACTCTCTTGCTGTAAACAATTTCCTCACTAGCCAGCTAGCCTGCTTTGGAACCTCCATTGTATTGATCTCCTTCTGCTTTATGTAGTGACAGTGTATCCATCTGATCCAAAGCTTATCTTTTTTAGCCATTATAGCCCAAAGAAGTTTAGTCAAAGCAGCTTTGTTCCATCTCTCGTAGTTGATAATATTTAGACCCCCAGCAGCTTTTGGTTTGCACAATGTTTCCCATGCTATAGGAGCTCTGTGAGTATTCTCCTGATTATCAGTCCATAAGTAGTTCTTGCATATTCCATTGACAAGTTTAATAACTTTCTTTGGGATTAGAAATACTTGAGCCCAGTAGGTCTGCATTTCAAACAGAACACTCTTAATGAGTTGTAATCTTCCAGCATAGGATAGGTATTTTGATGTCCAGCTTCTTATCCTCTCCACAATCTTCTCAACTAATGGCATGCACTGGTGAATAGTTATCTTCCTTGAGGATAGTGGGACTCCCAAGTATTTGAATGGGATACTTCCTGCTGATAGCTAGAGTTCTGCTAGCATTCTATCTTTGAATTCCATAGGCACACCTGCTATGTATAGTGAGCTCTTTTCCAAGTTTGCCTGTAGACCTGAGACTTTGGAGAAGTGATCAAAAACTCCCATCAGTAGCTTCATTGAAATCTCATCTGCTCTACAACACATCAATAAGTCATCTGCAAAGCAGATGTGTATGACTTGCAATTTAGCACATTTAGGGTGGAAATTAAAGTCTGGGTTCTATGTCAGTGTCTTCAAAGCTCTATTGAGAGACTCCATTGCTAATACAAACAGGTATGGGGACATAGGATCCCCCTGCCTTAGCCCTTTTTTTGCTGCAAAATTGTCAGTTAATCCACCATTCAGTAGTAGAGTGTAGCTGACTGTAGATACACATTCTATGATTAGAGCAACCATCTTGTATGGTATCCCAAACTCAAGTAGTATTTCTTTCAGAAAACTCCATTCAACCGAGTCATATGCTTTCCTGATGTCTACTTTGATCATACATCTTGGAGAGACTGCTTTTTGAGAGTACCCTTTAATCAATTCATGAGCCATTATGACATTGTCAAGGATATTTCTCCCTTCTATAAAGGCAGATTGAGAAGGTCCAACCAGTAGATCCACAATTAGTTTGAGCCTATTTGTCAGGATCTTAGCAATAATCTTATATATTGTTGAGCAACAAGCAATTGGCCTAAACTCCTTCACATAGCTGGGGTCTGTCACCTTTGGAATCAATGTAACAGTGGTGCAGTTAATTTCTTTCAAAAGTCTGCCTGTTTGAAAGAATTGTTGTACTGCATCTATGACCTCATCTCCAATGATTGGCCAGTATTCCTTAAAGAACTCAGCAGGGTATCCATCTATACCTGGTGCCTTGTCATTAGGCAAATTCTTTACAGTCTGACAGATTTCCTCTGCTGTGACAACCTGTAGCAATTGCTGCTGTTGATTCAGAGTTAGGCAAGGGCCATTTCGTGTTATATTGACATCAATCCCTTGAAGTTCCTCTGCTGCTGTCCCCAATAGTTGTTGAAAGAACTGGATGAATTCTCTTTGAATTTGTTTTGGCTCAGTAATCTTCACCTGTTGTTCATTATAAATGCAGCTCACCTTGTTTCTTGCTTGTCTGGCCCTCATATATGCATGGAAATATTTGGTATTACAATCTCCCAGTTGGATCCATGTTGCTCTTGACTTCTGCCTCATAATTTGCTCCTGAATTGCTTCCCATTTCTCTATGCTTTGCAAAGTCATTCTTTCCTCTTCTATCAGCTGTTTGTTGAAATAGTCATCATTGATTTTCCCCTGTATCTCCTTCAGTGCTTCTCTAAATTGTAACAGCTTTTGATCTACTGAGGAGTGTTCCTGTTGAATATCCCTTGTTTGTTGCTCAATAAACTTCAACTTTCTCCATATAGAATACATTGCATATCCTTGAATCTTTTGACTCCAAGTGTTCTGGACCACTTCTTTGTATTCACTTTGTTGCATCACTGATGTTAATAGCCTATAAGGCCTTTTCATTTTACCTTGACCACCTTAGTGTTAATCAGTACAGGGGTATGATCAGAACAACCTGGTAGCATGTATATTGGCTCTACTCCATTATAAGTATTAAACCAGTCAGCATTTCCAAAAGCCCAATCTATGTGGCTGTATATTCTGATTTCTGCATCCCTTTTATTGCTCCATGAAAATCTGCTACCTCTTTTTGTGATTTGTCCCACTCCAATATCCTCAAGACAATTTTGAAAGTCAATCATTTCTGCCTGGTTAACTGGAACTCCATTCACTCTATCATCCACATTCAGTACACTACTGAAATCTCCTATTATGAGCCAAGGTCCATTATATTGAATATTCCTCAAACTTCTCCATAGTGGAATTCTTTGTTGAGTAGTATGAAGGCCATATACAAATGTTATGTAGCTGGTAAATGATGAGTTTTTGTCCTTCACTAGACAATGGATCATCTGGTCAGTGCTTTCCAGGGTTGTTACATGGACATTTGCTTCTTTCCATATTAACCATATTCTACCATTAGGAGCATGTTCATAGTTATCTTTGAGTTGCCATTCTACTCCAATCTTTCTGTGGATATTCTGCATTCTGTGCCTTTTAACTCTAGTCTCCAACACAGCTATCATGTCTACTTTATTCATCAGCAAGAATTTCTTTAGTTCTCGCTGTTTATAGGACTTATTCAGTCCTCTAATATTCCAGGATACAATGATCATGGGGGCTTATGGTGGTTGGTATTGCCCTCATTTACCATTTGGCCAGCTTTAATACTAGATGTTTGCCCCTGTTGTCCATCTAATGCTTTAGTACTGGAATTGTGCCCCTGCTGTCTCTCATTTGATGGCCTCTCTAATATTGTCAATGGTGCAAATGCATTCCTTATAGCTAGCTCTTCATAATTAATATCTTTCTGATTTGTTTTACCAGCAGCTCCTTGTATTACCACTGCCTGTTTGCCTCTATTATCCACCTGAATCTCCAAAACTGGTTCTTCTGTGTGATTGTCTTGTTGCAGGGTGATTGTGTTATTGTTTTCCTCTGCTGTTACTTTAGGTTTCCATGCCATTCTAACTCTCTTCATTCTTCTTCTCTTATGCTTCATTGGTTCCTCTTCTTGCTGAGTTGCTTGTTGACATTCTCCTGTGCCATGCCCAAACTTGTTGCAGTCTAAACATAATTTTGGTGTCCATTCATATTCAACACTCTGCATCCAGCTTCTATCTGGTATCTCAACACAAAACTCATCAGGCATTGGTTGTGTAATGTCCATATCAACAAGAATTCTAGCATATGACACCCTTTCACACTCTGCAGTAAGTCTATCGGTGCAAATAGGTTTTCCTAGTAGGCTAGCAATCCTACCTAGGTGTTCCTCAGCCCAGCACTGGATCGGTAGCCCAGGTAAATTGATCCAAATTGGAACAATTCTCATAGATTCATCCTTCATCTGGAAATTTGGGTCCCAATACTTCAACACCATAGGTCGACTATTGAATGGGTAAGGGCCATTTTGCATTATTAGGTTTTTGTCCTCCATATATTCAAATTTAAAGATGAAATACCCGTCATCATGCAGCAACACTGTTGGAGTTGTGACTGTATTCCATACGCCATAAACAAATTTGAGCATCTCCTTGAATGACGGATTTCCCCTTAGGACATAACCTATCAAAGCTGTTTTCCGCTTCTAGGCCTGTTGCTCTATCTCCGTTGGGTTTAATTTGGCCATTTTCATTCCATTTTTCAACGTTGGTGGGTAGAATTTCAACTGCATGCCTTGTGTTTGAACTCTGTTGCTTTTCACTACTTCAGTCATAGTCTTCTTTGCTTGAGATCCAGCTGAGTAGGTTAGTTTTCGTGCTGCTGTAGTCACACCTGCTTCCGTAGGTTGCAATTCGTCCTTCTCCACCACCGGTGGAGCTGCTTGCATGACCGTGGGAGCACTTCCCATACCTGGTAGCCAATGTAACAGTTGAATTGGAGTTAATTTTTGGGGAATTCCATTTTCTGGTGTAACTAGTCTAGTCATACTATCAATTGGAGGAGTTGGTTGTGTAGGGTAGTTATGGTGGTTCCGGTGAGCCATCAATCGGCGTTTGTCAGCTTCCTTGCTCAACAATCGCCGGTGTTTCTCTCTCTACATTTCTCTTCCCCAAAAAAATACTAAATTTATGTACCTTAATAGTTTAGTCAACTTGACAAGTAATTAATTTATTTATATGATGAACTTGATAAAGAATAAAACTGGATGTTGTTGCTGATTATTTAATTCAATGATTCAATTATTTGTTCTATTAAAGGAAATAGTTTAGTTTTTGTTAATTCAAATTATTAATATTAGTTTTTATTATTTTCCTAGTATTTTACTTTAATTCATCTAATGTTATGGGTTATTAAATTTTTCTTCATTTAAAGTAAATTAAGATTTTATTTTATATAAATTATTTTTATTTAAACTATATAACATAATTATAAGTTACTTTACCTAATAGTATCTACTTATATTTTTTTAAAGTCAATGAAATTAGGCTACCGTCTTTTTTATTCTTATTACCCATACGATTTAATTCATCACGTTTGAAAATCATGTAAACATATTCATTAATTGCTAATATATAATTAACAAATATGACAAGACAAGCGAGTTATCACTTGAATAACAAACTCATTAGTGTTATAAATAGAATTGTATTTATGGTGAATGTGTATATTTAGAGAGATTCTAGGGTTCATTGCTTGGTGGCTAAGCCACCCTCTCCCTATAAATAGAAGGTTCTATTCCATTGTAATTCATCTCATATCAATAAGAATTCTCTCTCCCTACTTTTCTCTACAATACTCTTCTTCTTCTTTTATTGTTTCATAATACGTTATCAGCACGAGACTCTAACCAATTGAGTAGAAGCTTTGGGATTGAGCATAATGATTGTCAATTATTCCATGAACTTCCTTCATGATTATATTCTGGATTTAAGGTAAGTATTTTACCGTATTTTTCTCTTTTATTCTATACTTTGATTTTATATACAAGCAAAGACAACAAAGTTTGATTATAACTCTAGTGGAGTTTGTAAGAAATTATAACCACCCGAAGTGGTAAAATTTCAATGTCTTGCCATGATCAAATTCATGTATGATTATGGGCACAAAAAGTGGAAACCCGTCCCATTGAATTTGCTCCATTCTCATTCCCTTAAGAGAATGTGATAGCAGTATGTGATAAGTCTTAAAGAAGACAAAATTGTCACTATGAATGTATCAATGGATGTGGACGTGGCAATAGACGAAATTATAATTGTCATCATTGTGATAATGAGAATAATAAGGATTCTCAAAATAATCCCCCACTTGTGAAAAAATTTGTCATCGATTTGACATGAGATTTTATAAAGCACATACAGATGATTATGGTCTATTCATGATGTGAATGTGACAACATCTGATTTAAGAATACATATTCATTTTTGGAAGAATATGAGCGTGCTAGTGGTATATACCACACTCACCTCTAGAAGGAGGTTTGAGATGATATAAGAAAATAATATCATTATTATGGCATGAATGGTCATTGGTCACGTACCTATTGTACGCCAAAATATTTTGGCATTGTGATTATTAAAAGTCAACGGTAATGCAAGAAACAGATCTTACATATAATTTTGACCATAACCATAATGGTATAACTTTCTCTTTAAAAGAGATATTCACCATAGGGGTGTTGATGAATATGTGGTACTACAAAATTAATTGAGAACTCTGCAAGAGCCAATTATACTATTTTGGAGAAACACAATTAATTACCAATAAGGTATTGTGTTGTAGTAAGTCTCGGAGAAACTTATTCAGTTTCCAAAGTATACGCGAAAGCGGTTGATTATATTGAGACTATAAATAAAGGAAAGATTTAATATCTTCTATTGCTACATCTTGTAGCGGGGTAATATGTATGTGAAAAGCTACCCGCTTTATTCTCCAATTTGTACTACATAAACAAAAGAATACCACAATGAAGTGGATATTTATTGATATAAAAATCCTTATCATAATAAACTTGGAGTTTATTCATAATTGCACACATCATGGTGTAAACCTGAAGTTTATCAATATTGATAATTTATCCAGTTGGCATACTTGGTTTAGCCATGTTAATTCATGTATGATGTGCAAAAATAATAGAGAATTCACATGGGTAAATATTAAAGAACTAGAAAGTTCTTTACGAATTCTCTTATATTGCTTGTTCTCATTAATTAATAGATCAACTAAAATTGGGATTGAATCCCATGAATGTTGGAAATATCAAAGGTGAATATGGGCCCATTCACCTGCCATGTATACCACATAAGATGCATCTATGAGATGGTTACATGTGCGATTATTATTAACCCACAACATGGTGTTTGCGAGGTAACTTGCTCAATAATTTAATTTGAAGCATATTCCAGATTTTCTATTCAAGAAGTTCATCGTGATAAGTTGGTCTACATCACAGCTGGTTTAGCAAAATGATTTATTGAGTGCCTCCACTTAATAGTTAAACAATTACTTATGAGAACAAAGTTTTATATACCAGTTTGATATACGTTATATACGAAAGTATATTAATTTCTCCCCTCACAAGTGGTTCATGGTCAGGAACCAAATAATTTCATCTTATTATTATTGATGTGCGGTGTATATTTTGATTAACACCATAATGCACAAAGATGGGTTCTCAAAGTTGAGAAAACAAGTTAGTTTTTCTAACATGAGGGGGAGACATGATAAACAGTTGAGAAAATGTTACGTGGAATGAATTATCATTTATACATCTAGATCCTCGAACAAGATAATATGAACTTGAAGTTCATAAAAGGATAATTCAGTTGCAATATATTGCAAAGCATGCCAGACGCATTTGCTGACGCAAAGAAAGTAACTATATTCTCATTGCAAATACTTCTATTAAGTCCTAGAAGGACAAAGTCTATGGTACGTTTGAAGCGTATAGACAAATCGGTTTCGAATAAACTTCTTGATAAAGAAGATGAGCAAATGATCTAAATGATCATAATAAAGGGGCAAGTGATCTAGAAGATCACATGACATAACACTTCATAAAAATCTCATGAGAGATTCAGGTACCTGAAAATATGAATGAAGAGATCTCTATGTTATGTCTTTATGAAAAATAAGGAGGTTGGAACCGATATAAAATGTTTGTCGACGACATCTATAATAGCGCTAAATATATATGAGGATCTTAAGTCTAGAGAAACAATTCAAATAGAATTGGTTTCATATGAAAGACATGTATTTTTGGACATGTAGTTCAAACACGTGAAAGTATAAAGTCAATGGTATGTGCAATCAGTTTTGGGTATCTTATATGTCTAGCATGACATGAAAACTCGATATGCATCAAAAGTCTATTATATGGCTTATATGACTTAACTTATGTGACAATCCATGAAGGATTTAAGTTGCTTGAAGCATATACAATTCTTGATCTTGAAGTACCACTTCATCAGTGCAATTTGTGCACAAATGTATCTTGCTATAACTATATGCATGATAATATGATACCAAGAGTTTTCACCTCTATATGAAGATATTGAACTGACGATTCCAACAAGATCATATGAAGACAATTCATCTCTATCAAGAATGATGATTTCAAGGTGCAATGTATTCATTCAAGTTTTGGCTGATTTTTGTTCATCAAATCTCTACCAAAGATCTTTTGAAGATGGTGCACAAGATTGGAATTCAAATGCTTAAGGATGTGAATTGATGCTCTAATCGGGGGGAGTTAATACGCGTTGTACTCTTTTTCCCTTACAAGGTTTTGTCCC